TATCCGTCTACCAAATCCAGCGCACTGTACAGTACGCTCCCGGCCATGTTGTTCAACAACACATCCTTTCGTGGGATCGGTGTTTGGGCCGGCACCGTTGCGTTGTTCAGCTTGTTATAAGCGTGAACCAGACGCCACTTTCCGTTCGGCTTACGAACGCAGAAAGTCGGTGTCGAGTGCGGGGATTTCGATTCCCGCACCATGCCTGCCTTTGCTTTCGCGGCGAAGAAGGCATCAATGACCTCGCACAGTTCGCGCGGGTGAGGCCATTGCCTCGTGACACAATACTTTGTGCCGGGCACGAGATCAATCTCGTGCCGTACGCCTCGATCCGGTGGGAGTTGGGTCGGTGGGTGTTTGTTCACCACGTCCGCATACTCCGTCACCAAAGGATACACCGGATCCTTGGGGTTCTTGAGAATCTCAGAACCCAAGCGCGCCTGACGCTGCTTGTTCATGTCTTCCAGGACGTTCTCGTCCAAGACAGAGGAGGAGTTCAGCTCCTCCTGAGTGGTCTCAGGTCTCATGAGTACCATCTCAGCAATCTCTCCAGCCTTGAGGTTGGCCAGGAAAGACTCAGCCGTCATTTCCATGAGGTTCAGTATCTCTGCAACCTCTGGCAACGGATCCAAATGGACACCAGATGCCTTGACGGGTAAACCTGTCTCGCCATCGAAGAAGTGATAACACTCTTCCACCGGCCTTGTCGGAGGAGCCCGGGCCCTGGACTTCGAGTCGCTTGAGGCGACGTCGATCGGAACGAAGTTCGGATCCGACTTGAGGCGGCGGCGGCGTCTTTGTCGACGGCGTCTGTGACGGGGAGCTTTGCTTCCCACATCTAGGGATGTCGTCGCTACGACATCCGAGGCACTCGTGGCCTCGTGTGGTACTATGGTACCCACACAGGAAGCGTGTTCAACGCCTTCCTCTTCAGTTAAGGTCTGGGCGACCGCGTGTGGCACTGTGTTACCCACACAGGAAGCGTGTTCAACGCCTTCCTCTTCAGTTAAGGTCTGGGCGACCGCGTGGGGCACTGTGTTACTCACACAGGAAGCGTATCCGACGTCTTCCTCTTCAGTTATGGTCTGGGCGACCGTGAGTGGAACTCTGTTACCCACTCTGAACACGCTGTTCTCAGTGTTCATGACAGCTGCAGCTGTCTGCGGAACTAAGTTACCCGCCTGTGGACCTAAGTTACTCACTTGGCCGGCGCCTCTTCTGGGCGCGGCCACCATCAAAACATCCTCGGAGTCGTCATATACGTCGACGACTCCCAAGCATCTGCCGGATGCTTTGGTACCCTGGCAGCCCTCGCGGGCGCCCCGGGTCCTGACAGAGGTGGGAACATGACTCACCAATGCTCTGTCGGACTGCGCAGGGCGGCTGGCACCGATTGCCTTGCCTCGCCAGTCGATCCAGGGCTCGTGCTTCTCAAGCCAGGGCATGCCCAGGATCATATCATATGGATCCATATCGAGAACAGTGAACTGTTCGAGGCTGTCAAAGTCTTCAAACTTGACAGCCAGATCCACTTGGACGTTGGGGACAGTGACGACCTTCCCGTCGGCCAGTCGCACTGACACCGTCCCGTTGCCCTTGCTTTCTCGCAAAGCTTCGGACAACTTGTTGCTGTTACGAGCAACCGTCTGGCGGCGTGCGAAATTCTTCGACGCCCCAGAGTCAATCAAGATTCTAAAGGGGTGATCGTACCCCCGTACACATCCGTGTACTACGAGCAACCCGCCGCTGCTCTTCGCCGATTCGAGAGTGCGAAGACTCTCAGGGGCTAAGTCCCCGTGGTACGCGCCACCCGCGCACCCATCACGAAGACTTAGTTCTTCCCCAGTAGGGCGCCCCGCCCCTACTGGTTCCCTGCGTTCCCCTGTCCCCGGGATCCTGGCGTCTGCCAGCGACCCTTGAGGACGAGCTTGGGGAAGGACCGTCTGCGGAGTCTTCCGCGGGACAGTCGCGCTTGAAGTGGCCCATCTTCCCACAGCCGAAGCAGCGGATGTCACGCTGTTCGGCGGACCCGACTTCCATGGGAACCTGGTTCGTTGGGGCTTGCCCGACCGGGAGCCGACAAGGAACTCCCAGGCCACGCTGAGGCCGGCGTACGCGCCTGGCTATGGCTGTACTCTTCTTGAAGAGCCACTTGAATCGCCTCTTCAAGGGTGCTTGACTGCACCCGGAACAGCTGAGCGCGTGCGGGGCCCACTCGAAGGCCGTCCATGAACACAGTCATCTTGATGTGTTCGTTGAGTGGGTTTCCCACTAGGGACGCCGTGAGCTCTCGTATCTCTTGCACATACTCGTGCAGCTCGCGCCTTCCTTCGTTTACACGCGAGGAAGCGCGAACGCTGGCGATACTCGTAGTTCGCCGGGAGGAACGCGGCTCGGAGCTGTTCGCACAGCTGAGCCCAGGATGTGAAACATCCAGGGGATGTTGCTTCCCGAGTGTACACCCAACTCTTAGCACGACCGCTAAGGTTGGAGAGTGCAAAAGCAACACGCAGTTGCTCGGTCGAGATCAGAGCCGCGTCCATCGCGAGCTCTACTTCTCGGACCCAGAAGTGAAGGTTCTCGCCTTCCTTCCCTTCATACGGCTTTACTTTCAGCCGTATTGGCTTCGGGTGAGGCGGATTTGCTTCCGCCGCCGGAGCCTGCAGGTTCTCCCGCACATGCGCGATGAGGCCCTGCTCGTACGCGTCGAATGCATTGACGCGCTCGAGCTGCTCAGCCGGTGCTGATACCACCAGGCTCTGCAGGGCCTCCATCCCGAAGATGCCTGCCATCTTCCGAACCGACTCGAACTGAGAGTCGTTCATATGGGAGAAGTGGTTCCTATCCATGGCAACGAACTTCGGAGAGGTTCAGGTAGTCTACCCGCGGTGGCGTGGATTGACTACGAGTGCTACCAAGTGTGACGGGGTCACACAGCACCTTGCGCTAGAGGAAGTTATCTTCCGAGAGTATACAAACTCTCAGTGAACGGCAGTTCACAGGTCCCCTCTTTAATTAAAGAGAGCGAAGTGACCCAAATAAGGTAGATTGTAAACTGAGTATATTTATAGGTAGGTTAAGTTTGGGTTTAATACAAACTGTTAGTTACCTATAGAAATGCAATGTCATTTAACCAATGGTTGACTTTGAACGACCTTGGTACCTTGTACCAAATATCTCGGAGTATGACGTGCCATACTCCTGAAGTGTGAAGTGTCACGCTTCATGTAACCAGGGTACACTTAGGGCTACGTACCCCGTTACACCAGATGTCAGATTTGATTTGTGGCACCTTTAAGTTGTAATACAGATTTCGCAGATTTGATGCACGTGTTGCTGCGTCTATTCCCTCTAGGTGCTGGCTCTCGCACCCTTTCTTTCAGCCATCGGTGTCAATTTAATTGACTTAATTACGACATTGATTTAGCGATGAACACAAGAAAGGTGGATAGCTTACGACATTGCTCAGCAAACCTGTTCAGAATAAATATCACTTTCCACCGTCGTCTATGCACATCACACAGAACCAAAAAAGCTACGCACATCGTAAGTTACGACATAACAGTATCGTGACTTATGCGTTAGCTGTCATAGATTCCGGTAGCCAAGGGGTAATATTTATATAAATACAAAACATATCACCTATTAATAATACACCGTTCACTCTAATTAGTCGTGCTTCGAAATTGATCGTGCATTCACGCTTTAGTGACGTCACAAATCTGGAATATTTTAGAAAGTCATAAACTCTAAACAAAAGCAACGGTTTGGCGGTTGACCGTCGCTGTACTTACATGTAATTTATGAAGAGCTATCCATATCATTGTACAGTACTGTTAAGCCTGTGAGAAGAGAGCTTCACGAAAACACTTTCATTCTTTAATTTGCGTCCCGATGCATTTCTTCTTTCTGACAGCCGTAGTTTTCGTCTTCGCCACTTTATCTGTCAGCCCATCGGTTGCGTAAGATCCACGAGGACATGTCCACAACAGGATTGATTTCGATACTGTGAGCGCTACTTCAAAGACTGGTGCTGGTTTTATTGGCGAGAAGAGGGCACCCGTCATGGAAAAACTTAAGGCGTTGGTCAAGTCTTCTACGGTGACTCCAGACAAGCTTCATCAATGGCTAGACAAGGGGCTACCTGCAGGACAGGTGTTCAAGAACATGAAACTTGATCAACCAAACGTTTTTTCTTTGTTTCATAACCCCAGTTTTGCTAAGTGGGTTCAGTACGCGGACGACCTACATGTAAGTGCCAAGTCACCTTCTAAAGAATCTTCGGTGATCTCCACCCTGACATCATTGTACGGCGATAAAGTTGTCTACGAGGTGATATATGCTGCCAAAAAGTACCCAAACCTGAGAGAACTCGCCTCAAGATTGCAAGAGGATCAGTTGCGCTACTGGATAGCCATTCGGAAGGACCCGTCGGTGTTCTTTGATCTGCTGAATCTTAAACTAAAGTGGACAGGGGCATTTTGACGAAACCGGAATTTGCCGTTTGGCTCAAGTACGTAGACGATGTGAGCGCCAGACACCCCGAGGCAGCCCCATTGTCGATTATCCCCACATTGGCGCAGAGTCTAGGCCGAACTGGCAGAGATGGCAATGTTGAGCTCATCAAAATAATTGACGCTGGGAAAGTTAGTTATAAATCCGAAGCTGTGGCTAAGAGAATGGAGAGTGGGCTGTTTGACTTCTGGCTTCGACGTCAAGAAACACCTGACAAGATCATGAACGTGTGAAAGCACGACACTCCAACTTCAGCTTTCTTGGGGAGCCCACGATGGAAAGAATGGGAAAAGTACTTGAATGTGTACAATGCCAGATTTCCGGAGAAGAAAACGACAGCTATTGAGACATATGTGGGGAAGCACGGTGGTGTCAATCTGGTAGCTCAACTGGCCAAGGCAAAATCGAGCAGCGCGACGAAAAATCTTGCTGCGAAGCTGCAGGCTGCACACTTTGAGACGTGGGTAAGGCAGGGTAAGTCTCCCATGGCCGTCTACAACGATCTACAGCCTTACTACCAGAGAGTCGACTTCTTCCACGATCCGATATTCAAGACGTGGGTCTCGTACATGAATGCGTTTGTCTCTAAAAATTCTTGCAAATCAGACGAGCTGTTTTCGGAATTAAGTAGCGCCTTCGAGGGTGTGGCTTTTTCTCGGATTCTTACAGTAGCCACCAAGTTCCCTAATATGGAGAGTACTGCAACCAAGCTGCGGTATGAGAAGGCTTCGACAATTTTAGCTAGCAAAGAATCGCCGGAGAAGATATTCCAGCTACTAGCACTTGACGATGTCGAGAAGAAATTACTCAGCGACACTCTGTTCCACAAGTGGATGCGTTACCAGGACAGTTTTAACAAGGCCAATCCGAGGCATCAAGAGTCGGGGGCTAACACGCTCCGTGTTAATTACAACTGGGGTGGGATAGAGATAATTATCGAGACAGGAAGACAGAATCCGAGTACAAGAGAGATGGCTGAAAAAGTGGAGGATGCGTTTCACAACTACTGGCTGACTACTAAGACGACGCCTAAGGTAGCCTTACGCTTCCTGTATCTCCACGAGATTGGTGAAAAAACTCTCGTTAACCCAAAATTCAGCACGTGGGTAAAGTACCTGGATAACTTCAACGATCGATACCCTGGAGAGAAGACAACAGTGATCGACGGTCTCAAGGCTCACTACGGCGACAGAGCTCTACTCCAGATGTTAAACGCTGCGAAGGAAGATCCCAGCACGAAGAAACTCGTCACTGATCTACAGAGTGCTCTAATCCTCAAGTGGCGAGATGCGAAGCAGACACCAGAAAAGCTTACGAGTATGCTCGATGGCGTGCCAAACTCCCGTGAAATGATTGATCGATACACCACGCTAATATCGGGGACGAAAACAACCACTTAATCAATTCCACTGAAGCGGCTTACAAATGTGATATTGTTGATCATAATTGCGTAATGTGCGTCCTTGGAATGAAGCCCAAATGTGCCCACCGCTTTACCGGCATCGATTTTTTTAGCGGTGCATTTCTTTTTCTTTTACAATATAGGTTTCGTCATATTCATTTTCTTACGGCCGGATGACTGTGGCCATCGATGCAGGAAATTGAACGGTATTGTGAGCCTCAGTACACTGTCCTTCGTTTTACTGCAAAAACAAATATACACTCACACCTCTCTAACTGAGCCTCTGTAAGTGACAATTGACTCTTTATTTGACTACCAAAGTTCCCAACAAAACTGACTATATGAGTTTTAATTAAACTGTATTACGTAACTTACTGTTGTGGCTGCCGCACTTACTGTCTATATGGATAGCTGTTCCCATAGGAATCAATCACACTTAGCGCGCATTTCCGAACGTAACGGCCCTCAATTGCGGGTCAACACGTACTATGACCCCGGCAACTCAAACGGCTACGCTAATGCTAGAAGAGAGGCTTCAGATATGCTTGAAAACGCAGCGCCACCCCCCGCACGATGGACGCTGAGATGGGCTCTTACTACGTTTGAAAAAGACTGCCAGTATAAGTACAATCCGATGTATTCGCAATAAGCAGCTACCGGCTTACCCCGCACAAAGCGCCCAGGCGTACTAAAAAAAACTATGAAGTGGTTTAGAACAGTGTGTAACCTCGATTTCAACGTAAAGTAGAATACAAGAACACATTGCGGGAAGGGTTCATTAAATCAATGAGCTCTAAGCCCATGCTTTTAGAACGACTCTAATGCATGTAGAATCTAATCTCCATTCATTCTTTTATTGTAGTTGAGACCATCAACGCTCAACTGCTCATTCTAAAAATATCTGCTTTCCAACAAGAATTCAGCACCACTACACCATCCAACGATGCCCAGCACGTCGTAGTTATACTGTCGTGCAGAAACACTTGATTCTTGGAGAATACGAGTGTGGTGTTCAGGGAAAAGGTTTCCATGCTGTTGGTAAACAACATGGTGTTTTGGCCAGTACTATTCGAGGCTGGTGGGCAAAAAGGGACGAGCTGGAAAGTGCTTCGCGTGATCGACAGATTACCACGTTAAATGCAAGACGTCTTAGCGGAGGTGGACGACGGCCGGCACACAGTGAATTGGAGGAGAGGCTTTATGAGTGGGTCGCGTATCGGAACAGCAAAGGCTTACGAGTGAAAGACTCGTACATTCGACTACAAGCAGCCAACATTTATCGTGAGCCGCATGGCAATGATGCAATGACCGACTTCAACACGGACTCTACCTGCAGATGCACCCGCTATTTGCCAGCGGTTCATCCAGCAAGCCCAGTGCCTCATCACGAAGCATGGAATAGCCCCATGCCTAAAGAGCCCTAGCCTAAGAACATTATTAACATGGACCAAGTCCCCCGCTACTTCGAGACTGACCCAACGTCAGCGATAACAGCGCGTGGATCTCGAGAGGTCCTGTTACGGAAGGGCGATTCCAGCCACAAACGCTTCACCGCAACGTTTGCAATCACCGCTGAAGGCGAGTTTTTGAGGCCACACCTGCTGTTTTCAAAGCTGAAAAACAAGCCTAAGTGTCTTGGTGGTGTCCTTGTGGACGTCAACAGCACTGGAATGTGGAGTGATGACATCCTCCTACAACATGCGCAGACTGTGAATTGCGGGAGGAAGGTGACACAGCTGTACCGAGAACCTGTTCTCTACTTGATTGATTCCTACGGCTGTCATGTAAAACTGGCTGATTATCAGCGACTGGAGCGCTATAACGTTTTCATTCTAGTGGTCCCTCCAAACCTCACCAACCTGCTTCAACCTTTGGATGTTGCCGTTAACAGGAGTTACCAGGAATGTTATCGGTCAAAGTACGACGAGTATATTAGCTTGGTCCTGCGAGACAAGAGTCTGCAAACGAAGGCAGGCAACCTCAAGGCTCCCCGCTACGACACTGTGGCACAGTGAACGCTTGACTGGGTGGGCACCAGGTCAACGGCTGAAACCAAGAAGACGTTCTCTCTTTGCAGTTTAGTTGCTGAAGAAGACTTTAACGTGGACCAGCTACACGCTCCGCTAAGGGATATTCGGAGTCCCGACTTTGACATGGTGAAGTGGAATGCGGCATACGAACACGTCGTGACGGATGAAGGCGAACAAGAGCTGGTGCATGTGTCTGCACCGGATTGGTATATTCCGAAAAATGAGAGAAGCAGCCTGTTCTACTGTCTCTCATACGGCTCGGACATGTCACCTTACGAGTATGCATCTGTGCTGACGCGTTACATGGCTACGCTGGACGATCTGGCAGGACCACTGGATGAAGATTATATTGCCTCGGTAAGAGACGGACATGTAGATCCAGGCGAGCTAAAAATCTATGCTGCGTCCAAGATACACGGCTGGAACATCAGACTTCAAAGTGTCGATAACTAGAGCCGTCGGATGTCAAGTTTCACGTACACGGCCGACAACGCCACGAAAGACGTCTTTCTGGTACGAGGTGGCGGCTATTTTGCTGTTCAGGTCGATGGATACCTTGTGTAGATCAGAAAAAATATTTGTTTTAGGTAAGGAGAACAAAACAATGTTTAACTCAAATTTTAATTGGAAGTGACAAGCTTTGACATGTGTGCGGGGCTTTAGCGAGTTTTAACTCGCGACAACCCTCTTCCCTGATGGGCCCTCAATTGACACAGCCAGAATCGATCCATGGGACCAGCAGTATGCCAATCCATGCTTCGACCAGTTGAGCTGTCAGCACATAATAAAGCGACGTGCATGCATATTTATTTGTAGCTGTATAATCTCCACCTGACCTGCGCTCTTCAACGTTAAGAAGTTTGCTCGTAGAATAGCGCCTACGCACTTAAAACAAATAAAGCGCTCACTGGGCGCTATATTTTATTAGTATGTCTGGGCGCTCTGTGCGGGGTAAGACGGTAGCGATTTGGTGCATTATTGGAGCTCCTGTAATCAATTCTTCTCCATTTAGGGCGATACTTGGACAACTCAATACATAAATGCCAGAGATAACCTCCTGGTAAGCACCAGGTAGGACGTTTTAATTCTTGATACGCTTATTCAGGCTAGATGGAAGACGCCTGCGCAGAAATTAAAGACATCCAGAAACACTCATACTGAAAATTATGAGGAATTTTCTTATCTGAGCGAATGCCCGTTCAGATTTTTCCCTTAGCTTGTGCGAGCAAAGTAATTGCTACAGCTATTAAGGCTCATTCTCAACCGGAAATATAGACCGCATGCAGCCGCAGGAGGACAAGTAGAGTCTTCTAATTGGCTTACAGTGTAGGGTGGTCGCATGCGGCGACGTTCATAAAAAGACGCTCGTGCGGCAATTTGCCCGCATGTGCTAAACTTGCCGCACAGTAGAGGAGTGAAAAATAACCAATCAAAATGATTTGTGACTCACGACTTTATGGGGGTGTTTGCTCCAACCTTTATTGATCACTTCCTTTTTCGTTCAAAAGGTACACATTCGTTCACTACCACGTCTAGCTTGCAACTACTACATAAAGCTGATAAAAACGAGTTTTTTTTTTTAGTTTTACCTGTTCTCGCATCGGTTTTGGTCAGCAACGATAACACAAGCAATGAAATGCAGACAGTTCGTGATCGTATCAACTGGAATTCACATGCTGAGCGATTAGTTTTGGAAGGCGAGTTCAAACAGTACTACAGAATGAGATCTGAGGCGTTTGAACGTTTGCTGTTGATCGTAGGTGGAGCACTGGTCATGAACCCGTTGCAATGGGCACGACGGGCCCGTGGAAAGCCTTCAGTGTCACCTGCCGGTATGCTACAAGCCTGTATTTCGTGGCTCGCTGGGGGTAGCTACCATCATATTCGGGTTATTACAGGGACCAGTCGCGCTGGTATCTATAGCATTGTATATGCTGTGCTACGCGCAATCAATACCTGCCAAAAGTTAGCTATCCAGTTTCCTACTAGTGATGCCGAAATGGAGGTTACAGCAGCTGGATTTCGTTCTGTCAGCACTGGTGGTGTCATGCCTGGTTGCATTGGAGCAATCGATGGTTGGTTTTGCCCGGTTCGCGTTCCTCGGGCCAGCGAATGTGGACGGGTAGTCTCTTTTTTTTTCGGGCTTTCTCAAAGATATGGTCTTAATGTGCAAGCTTGTGCAGATTACATGTGCCGATTCACGGCCATGGCTTACCGCTCTCCGGGTGGCCGTAATGATTCTATTGCTTTCTTACAGTGGTCTCTCAGTCAAGTTCTTTCGAGGTTACAAGGTCCTTACTTTGCTGTCGCCGATAATGCATATTCTCAATCTAGAGTGGCCATGACGCCTTTTACCCAAGCCCAATCGAAGGATTGTCCTGAGCGCGACAACTACACTTTTTATTTGAGCCAATGTCCCGAAGCATGTTCAAAATGCAAGACTTTTCTTGTAGATGTGAGGAGGCCGAAGTGCCGGCACGCTCAGCTTCCACCCGACGATTCTTCACATACGCTACAAACGCCCCGGCAAAAACCTCCATGTGCTCGCTACTCCCACATTTCCCTTTAGACGGTGTAGATTTGGCAGCCGGTGATTTGAGCACAGCTTCTCCGTTGTCATCCAGGGTATCGTACTCGTCTGTGGACAGGAGTCCACCTTTTGCGAGGTTTCTAAGTTCTGGTGTCAACTAAATTACTCGTTAAGCATGCACACGTACACACTTATAACACTTACGTTTAGACATTTATGCTAGTACAGTACGTATCCACAACCATTGACGAAATTGCGAAACTCGTTTTCGTGCTACCCCGACGTCGTGAACTTCCTCTAGGCAATAATGTAGAGTTTGTTGACCTCACCGCTGCAGTGCAAGGTCGGCTTTCTCGTTTTTGATAGAGTTTCTTTGCTGAATGGGCCTTAAATGTAGCTGTGTCAATGCCTAGAAAGAGATCGGCCTCAGCTACCAAT